TCATGAAAATATTAATGAAACAATTCGTGGCTTAATTAACATTGAAAATGCGAACTTGGTCAAATTTGAATAAATCAACATAGAAACGAAGAATAGCGGAAATGCAAAATTAGAAGATATACATATTGACGCGAAGAAAAAGAAACGCATACATTGATATTTGGTTTAAATCAATAGTGAATAATGTTGACAAAACGTAGCGAATATTTCATTGTAGGATGTACAAAAACTATCGTTGCCGTCTCGCTATCCTTTCCAGTCTTTGTCGCGAAACTCTTTAATCCCAATTATATGCAAATTTATGTATGCGTGTGTGTATGTGTGACCGCAACTATCCGCGAGAGTTTAATTATGGGTTGTTCGTACTGTGGCGGACTTTACGAGGGTCCCTTTCGCAAGAAATTATTCGGCATGCGTACAAATACCTTATTTCGCGCTCAATTGCACTGCTTTTCGCTCCGAATGTCGCGGAAAATGAGAAAATTGCCCAACTGTAACCGGAATTGTGAAAATGAAACGTATTATTATTTGCCGATAATAATTATATAACATGTTTATTTATTAATAGAGGTTATATAAGGTGTTTATTTATTAATAAAGTTGAAACATGCAAATTGAACGGCTCTTAAAGTGAATAATTTTAAATAAAAGTTACGTAATGTATACATTTTTATATACAATGCTACATCTTTCAATCTTCACGAAACGACACAAACTTCCGACAATTGAGAACAGTCGTGATGAATGTTGAGTTGGGAAATGGAAAATCGAACGAGTGTAGATAATTCGAATTTCGCAAGCAATTGCTCGTATAAATTGCGACGATAAAAAGCCGGGTCGCGATTAGAATTTATAGGGGACGAACGACAGAGACACGCGGCAAATCCTATCGGAATAATTTACGGCTTAGGAAATTAATACACTCTTCTGGTTCACGTAATAAAATCCATCCTATCGCGTACTAGGAGATTGCATTCTTTTATAATACCTATATGTATTATTCTTACTTTATCGAACGCAACAAAGTCATTTCATTTCGCGCGCGGATACATCGTTCGCTCCTTTACGTTGTGATGAAATCTCTTCCATCAACAGCATAAGTTTTACGAGACTCGAGGTTTTTGCGTAGTAAATGTTTTATCAACGTCGGGAAAAATTTTCGAACGAGAGAAACTTCGGATACTGAAAAGCTCGATCGGAAACAATTGTTCAAGAACATCTGTATTTATCGCAAGCGACGAAGCTGGAGAGTTGCTCTTTGCATAAACAGGACCATCAATTTTCAACCGGAAATTAGCGGACGATAATTTGCCATTCGACAGAACGCGATTTTGCATTTCGCATCGTTCTTCGATCGTAAACGCATGATTGATTCGCCATCGAGGACAAATGCCTTGTTCTCCGTTTAAACGTCCGGACGCTACCGCTCCTGGTAAATATCACCACGTCAATATAACGCCGTTTGTTCCGATTTTTCTCGCTTTCTCTTTCTTTGCTTTTATTAACCCAAACATGCCGAAGCCGACAAGTTGTTTTGATAATTCGTGATTTATAGCGACAGATACGCTGCACACATGGCATTTTTCTCACATGGCATGAAAATCTCGCCGTTGTATTGTTAGCCGAACAAGCACACTGAAAAACTGTTGCTCACTTCCAGTTCCCTCTGTCAATAATGTAGTCGTAAAGGTGCACCAAAGAGTTTACCTTCCATTGCATGAAAATTCTTTTAGTTCACTTTCACAAATTTTCTGTTGTATATTTTCTTCGATGTACGGTTGAATAATTTGACGGACAAATAAGAAAGAAATTCTCTTTGAATGTGGCGGAAATGAATTTTTAGCTATAAAAAGAATAACTTTTAGACAGTTATTTAAATAAAATTATACTATCATATGTGTATTTGAGAAGTTTCCTCTCGAAAAAGTCATTTTTCTTTGGAGACGTGACCTTTTACAAAATCTGTATTTCGAGATCCTTTAGAAAAAGGATTGATTCTATTCGGAATATACATGGAGACGCGTTATACAAGTTTTCTTCTTTAGATTTATGATTCAACTGTCAGCTCCTGGGAGAATATCGTTGTTCGATACAATGATCGATGAATCTGTAGTAAATAACGACTGATGCAAAAATGACAATATACTCGTTACATACGACATTCTGCTTACGACTGCAATTTCCCAACAGTTTTGTTTAACTTTCGTCGACAATACTGCCCGGACCCCGCCTCCCTCCGTGGACGTCAAGAACACTCTCTACCGAACACTTCATGTGCGGTTTTTCATTTCTGCAACTATCCGGAGGCTGCATTCATTTCTGTGCAATTGCTAATTCATGAATAAAAATGGAAAAATAGAATCAAAGTAATCACAATTAATAAGTGACAAAATTGAGTCGAGATGTAATTGGAGCGTAAGGAAAAAATTATTTTTTGTTAATATATTCCAAAATATTCACTTTAATTTTTTTATTTAGTTATACATATATCAATTCCGAAATATTTAATATAATTTTATATATTATTACCTCTTTTTTCTCTCTCTCTCTCTCTCCGATATTCTTTTAGCATTAATATTACTATGCTGAAATGGACTAAAAATGGTTCGAAATATCCGTATATTTATGTATATGTTTTAACAAAATTAAATATTTGGAATATATTAACAAAAAAAATAGAAAAAAAATGTTCTTGTACTTTAATTATTGTGCCTCAGCTCTTATTTGTCAATTTTGTCATTTAGTAATTATTATTAATTCATGTCGTAATTGTGTTGCAGTGAGCTATTTATCATATATTTCGTTTATCTGATTATATGAGAAAAGAAATTCTTTTATTCCGCTACTCTCTTTATTAGTTTACCATTAATATTTTAAAATTTACATATTTGTTATTATATCTTGGTAGACTAGAAATTTAATTTCACAAATAGCTCTTTCGTACGTCGAACACTGTGCTTTTGTTACAAACCAATTTTAAGGAAATTTACATTGTAATTATGATATTAACTCTACCTGTTTTAACTCTATCTTTCCAGATTTTCAAGTCATTTTTCTTTTTTCTTCATCCAAGTACATCACATTTATTCATCCTTAGCCATTTGTTTACGTTATATTCGTTTCAGCGCAAATCATCAATCATTAGAAATGAGAACAAGAGATATTCTTTCTCCTTTGCTTTCTTCTTTTCTTGTACCTTGACAAAAAGACTCGCTTCGAAAAATCAAGAAATTAAATAAATTGAATCAGAATTTTTGAACTTTCTTTCAACTTATGTACTTTTATGTAGCAGATTTATTCTCATACTTATACAATTTAAAAGTGCGTGCATGAAATCAATATAAAATACTAATAAATAATAAGGTTTATTGAGCAAATTTGGGAAAATAAAACGGAATAATAAATCTCATTTTAAGTAAAAAACAATATGATGTTTTAAGCAAAACTAGCACAGTCGTTGATCAAAGTTTACGACGGATCATATTTTTCTCCAACGTCTTTTCGAGTTTCCGCGTTAAGAGTCGTAGATGGCTCCATTCCTGAAGAGCTCTCGGCGTCTCGTTCGTAAAGACGACAGAAATGAGCCGTGCTGAGAAGGAGAAGGCAGAAGAAGGGAAAAGAGGTCGCGATGGCATGACGGAAGATGCTTTCGATATTTGCAGGCTGTCGGTACCACGTCATGCAACATGTTATACCAGGAAATTCACTGCAAATCTCGGAAAATGACCTGACAGTTGCGACGAATATCTCGCGACTCTGCTTTTCTCCTGCAGTTTTTCTACACTGCATTTCGAAACTTTTTCTCATCGTAAATCCATCATTATTGCGTATACCGATCAATAACGAAAAGTGAAATAAACATAAGATGTGATATTTTTTAAATTTGAAAACACGACAATTTATGATCTGCAATAAATATGTATGTAAGAAATGAATTTCGATTGTCTTCAAAAGTTTTATGAACTAAATATATATCTTCTGTTAATCACAGATATTACACATATTGTAATAAAGAAGACTGTTATGATTCCTATATAAAACTGCGTTTCAAGTTGCTTCTGCAAAATTATAATGATTTTTTTTAAATAATAATAAATATGGAAATATAAAAAATGTAGAAAATAATATTATTCTACGATTTTGAAATTGGTTTCAAATTTTTATATTGTAGAAGATAATTGTACAAAAAGAGAAAAACGCAATACACAAATTCTTATACACAAATTCTTATTTTTGTTACTTTTTATATTTGCTTTATATATATATATATATATATATATATATATATATATATAATCTTAATAAAATATATTCAATATTTTATTTTTATTAAATATTTTTATATTTCAAATTAAAACATCGAAATATTATTTCAATTTCAAAACATGCGTCAAATAAAAGAATATTTCTTTTATATATATATATATATATATATATATATATATATATATAAAAGAAATATTCTTTTATATATTTTTTCGTTATATTTTCTCATGCTTGTATAAGATATACAATTTTTAAAAAATATATTTAATATTTTATTTTTATTAAATATTTTTATATCTTGAATTAAAACATTGAAAAATTATTTCAATTTCAAAACATGCGTCTAATAAAAGAATATTTCTTATTTTTAAAATGTTTCTCTCTTTTACATTATAAATATAAATATATGTATATGTATATGTATATATATATATATATATATATACATATACATATATTTATATTTATAATGTAAAAGAGAGAAACATTTTAAAAATAAGAAATATTCTTTTATTAGACGCATGTTTTGAAATTGAAATAATTTTTCGATGTTTTAATTCAAAATATAAAAATATTTAATAAAAACAAAATACTAATATATTTTTTAACGATTGTATATCTTATATAAACATAAGAAAATGTAATAATGAAAGAAAATATAATAAAATTAATAAAAATTAGATCAAATATAGTGGAATGAATGTACATTAAAGATTTAATTATTATTTCATTTTTCCTTGATTTCTTAAATTTTGAGATGATTCTTTTATAGTTTCCATCCATAATTCGAATTCTTTAGTGGGCTTCGGTTTACATGTTTTCGGTTCAATATTGGCAATTATATCTTCTATTGGTGTTTCCGATCCAATTATAGTTTGTCTATTTAATATGATGGCGTAAATAAAATTATTTTTGAGACCAATGAATTGTTGCTCCATATAAAAGTGCCTATCATCCCAATAAATAAGCTATAAATTGGATGTAAATTAAATTTTATAATTATTTCTTAGAAAAAAAATACGAAACTAATCTAATTAAATCGATTAATTCAAAAAGTCAGAGTTAATTCCGTAAAATAAAATTTTTGTAAAAAAATTAAAAGATCATTTTATTATCTTATTTAAGAAAAAATTCTCATAAAGAAAAAAATCGAAAGATATTTATTTATATTATCTGCATATTTTTTTAAAATTTTCTTAAATCTTGTCAGAGATTTCTAGTATTTTTTATAAATGAAAATTTCAGGAAGAAAAATATAATTTTTTAGATTGCGTTTTTTTAACAATATAACTATGAATAGACAAACTAAATTACAAAAAATATTACCTTTGTGATGATCTTGTACGGCATAAAAATAGAAATTGCTCGACGATATCGTACAATACTTGCAGTTTGAATAATAGTGCCATTTTTTTTAGTGATTGTCGCATAAAGTCCAGATCTATCAAAATAATAATAACGCGCAAAATCCGCCTCACGTAAGTATCTGGCATTATTCATATGTATAAAAACTATGTCTATATCTTGAGTAGTACAAATTCCTAAAAAAAAGGAAAATTCCGTCAAGTATTATTATGTTAAGTATATATTATTTTTATCTTGATATGGTTAATATGAAATAAAATTCTACATCTGAAAAAATTTTGTTTGGAAATTTGAAAATAATATCAAATAATAATAATAATAAAAAAAGCTTATTTAAGACCAAGAAAAGTGCAGGTGGTATTGCGTTTTGTAAATCTATAATTTTTTTAAAAAAGAAACTAAATTCTAAAAGTACAAACGTTCGGTTCCTTAGTGTGACAATAATAATTTAATAGAACATATAAAAGAATATATAAATAAATTGATAAATAGATAGATATAAATAGAAATAAATAGATAGATATAAATAGAAATAAATAGATAAAAAAATTATAGTACTATATAAGTCGAATAATAAAATTGTAAAAATAAATTTAATAATTAGAGACTTGGCTCAAATAATCAAAAAATTAAAAAGAAAATAGCATAAGAGCCAATGCGCGGTAGTTGGAGCGCAGAGAAGTAACACTTCTTTTTTTTTCAATATTGGTTTATTGAAAACATATTATAATAACAAAAAGCGAATGTTTCGGATCAGCTTTTGATCCTTCTTCAGCGCGGTGTTAACAATATATATTACAAATAGTGACGCTGAGTTCGTCATCGAGTCTCGTGTAAAAAACAAATAAACATGAGGCACACAGCGGTATATTGTATTATTAATTATAAGCAAGCGCGGAATCTGATCTGTCGTGACGTCGCATAGCATAACTATAGTATATTTAATTGACTGTTGGAAGCAAAGTGCTTGCTAGATCTCCGCGTGATGCAATTTAGCGTCACCTACGCGTCGAGAAATTATAAAAATAAATTCGTTTAATGTAACGCGTCACTATTTGTAATATATATTGTTAACATCGCGTTGAAGAAGGATCAAAAGCTGATTCGAAACGTTCGCTTTTTATTCTTATAATATGTTTTCAATAATGATATTGAAAAAAGAAAGAAGTGTTACTTTTGTGCGTTCCAACTACCGTACATTGGCTCTTATATTTTCTTTTTAATTTTTTGTAAAAATAAATTTCAAAATGAATGAATTATATAAGTAAAATGTACATTTTACTTATATAACTGTAAATGTACATAAAATTACACATAATTATTCATTCATTTTTTTTACACATATAATTACACATAATTATTCATTCATTTTTTTAGCAAAAATAATCTGAAATAGAACTAGCAAGCATAAATTACAATAAATTATAATCTTATATAATTCGTGATCATTGATTTTGTAAATGATTATTTTAAATGTTAGATATTTTCATATTCAACTATTTTAATATAATTATAATTTTAATATTTCTCGTAACATTTTTTTTAAATTATCCCTGATAAAAAACATAATTTTAACGATATTTTAATGAAATTAAAATGTTACATGAATGAATACAAATTATTTTGTTTACATCTTTTTCCATAAATAAAAATTAAATTTATTTTCTGTACTTATCTTATTGTCCAAATAATGTCTTTATGTGTCGTTCAACGAACTAATAAATTATTAATAAATTACTAATAAATTATTATTAGTTAAATTATTATTAGGTATTATTAATCAGCAATGAATTAAGAAAGAGAAATAAACACATACATTTTCTCTCTCTCTCTTTTTCTCTCTCTCTCTCTCTGTCTCTCGCTCCCTCTCGCTCTCTTTCAGTTATAAATATATTACTTTAATTTGTACAACTCTTCAAATTCTTTGCAAATTGTACTTGCAAAATTTATATATCTGATAAATTAATGTATTTAAATCTTATTTTTCATAATTATTTTATGAAGTAATAAGTTTGATAATTTGTGTTGATAAATTTATACATCTAATCTATATATTTATACATCTAATCCAATAACTTACCGTAAAATGTAACTGTATCCAATAGCTTCTTCTTTCTACCAAATAGTCTTCCCCAATAGATAAGGAAAAAACAGTTTAAAAAATAATTTAAATCAAATAGAATATAAAGGATGGCGATTATCGCCATGCCATAAAAATATAGCGGAAACATAAGAATAGTTAATATGTGCTGCTTCTCATCTGTTTTAACACTGAGCAATGACACGAAGATCGACAAATTAAAAACACGTTAATGTTGCGAAAACTCAAGAAAGTCACGTGCAGTATAATAACAGCGAGACACAATATATCAATACACAAAAAGATCAAATTATAATATCCGCAGAACAGTTGATTTCTTACTAAGAGATTTAATCGATAACTTAGATTTATATAACATTTTTATGATCATTTATCAATCATCATGAAAAATTAATCAATTATCATTGAAAAATTTTAAATGTAAATTCTGCTTATAAAAAATGTTAAAGCAATTTTCTACAAGTGAAAATTGAAACAGAAAATGACAGTGCATATTGATCATACCGATTGTATCATGTATTTAATATGTCAAATATTTATTTATTAATTAAAATAAAGATCGCATAGGCTTAATGATAAAAATCATTTATTTTTTATATAAATTTTAAAATAATAGAATGGCCAAAATTCGAGCCAAAACAATAATTGAAATAGCATACGTTTATTAAATTCTATAATGCAAAAATACATAAAAAAATAAACCAAACGATCTTTGATCTCACACTTTAGGTCACTTTCAGTGGAAATAGATATTAGAACGCTTTACATAAATAAAATATAAATAAGATCGTTAGCTAGACTTAGAATGCATTATAAATTATAAATGAAGTCGTCATATATACATAAACAGAGATATTATAACCAAAATCATGTGGTGAGATAAATTAAATAATGATCAAAATAAAAGTCAGTCAAAATTTCTGAAATGCATTATTTGAAATTAATATCAAAAGTAAAAATAAATCAAAAAACAGTCGAACAGATTTCGATGAACAATAGCACTCTTTACGTTATTCTTATTATTATAATAAGAAACAGTTTATTTCCTTAATACTACAAAAGTGTTATTCCATATGCAACGAGCCAATTATTTTTTTTGATATATATTTTAAAATAAATTCTTAAGTGCAATACCTTCTTGAAAAATTGCGATCGCCTCCGATCTTTACTGAATTGATGATATTCCGAAACGAAACTCGAACGTGTTATTTGAATGCAGAACGGATAAATGAATAACTCTTAACATTTCGGAACGTTCAAAGGACAATGTTATCTGTTGTTTTTGCCTACCTTTATGAAGCAAAAACATCGAACTCATCTTATCTCATATATGCAGTATCCACAATGATGAAATAAAACAAGAAGTTGCAAACGTATTCAATTATATTGTAACTCGTAAACACGTGTAATGACATATCTGAAAAAAAATCGAATCATTTATAATGTTTTATCCTTTTATTTTAAGATAAGAATGCGAAAAATCTAAAGACGCACATATATATCACCCGGACTTTAGACCGTAGATAATTAACATATTGACACACACTATTGAGATAATTAACATATTGATTTTTTTAAAAAATTTGCGTCAATATGTTAATTATCTACGGTCGACATCAATTTTTTATAGTCTTGAGTCGCTATCGATACTTCTCACTGGGCTCGACAGTTTGATAACAAACGATGCGACGTAAAAAAATAAAATATCCGGGAAGAACGATGAACGGCAAGGGATTTCCTTTCGTTCTTAACGTACACTATCATTTATTCTCACAGAAGTTTTTCCGTCACACACAAGTATATAAGAAAAATTATATGTATAAGAAACGATATATATCATATAAACGGTTAGATACAGGATTGTATTTATGCTAGACTATATATGTGTCGAATCCCATTTAGGAGAAGAAAGAAATGAATCCAGCAGAAGACGTTTTTATACAAAAAAACATCCTAAGTTAATTTATATGATGCTTCCCTTTTCTGAAATGAATATATGACTCAATTTCGTAGGTCTATTGTATATCCAAATTTGAGTTCATTAATTTGTAACGATTTCAATTTCCGGTTACAATAACGTGCAACCATTCCAAGCAATTACCGAATTGTCCTAAATTCATAGGTCGTCGTTCGCAAATATCGCTGGACGATGCGATCGAACAATCGTAACGCAAAGCCGGACTCGTGACATCGATTAACATGTCGATGCGACGTATCCGCTCGTAAAATTGGGCCGAATAATCGATCGACTGTTCGGCGAAAGCTTCGACGTGTCACGGGTCCACTTTCGGATTTACGATCAACGTATTTATGTGCACATGTAAATTTTCGATGGGGTATTTTTGCGGATGCACAAATTCCTCCTGGCAGCCCGTCGTCGCTTTAATCAATGCGAGACGCGTCCCCAAGCGCGATTTAATCGAAGCTCCATTCAATCGCTATTATGACGAAGTAAATAGCGCTTGTGTTTTTCTCTCTACGTCTCTCCTTCATTACGCGTTCATCGTTACATGCATACTTTCCGGCGACGTGCAAAACCGAAGGAAATCGAATTCTACCCCATCTCTCTCATTTATCTCTCGTTCGCGCGTGTTCTTTGTCCACGTTATCGACGCCATTCCCTCATGCCACGCTGACGGATAAGGAACGATAAGGGGGTCTATAGAATGTCACCTTGCGAAAGTACAATTTCGCTCGCAGCCATCGATAGGATATAAAAGATAAGTCGACAGGAAATCCCGGGTAGCATCATAAATGCACGAGGGACCTTCGGTTGCACATTTTGCAATTTAAGCACAATATCTTTTTTTTATATATTTCTGTATTTTATAATGTTTTGTTGCTATTTTTTGACGCTGCGATATATTTATATTTTATTTTATGTATTCTTTATATGAGCAACTTGTATCATTAATGTTTGATTGTATTTTCAATGCAATATTGAAATTTCTTGCGCTCCTGTGCACTTTCGTGTTCATCTCTCTCAGGAACATCGCGGAATATTTAATTTGAAGTCAACTGCAAGTTTGATAAGTACTTAGTTGAAGATATTAAATTCAGGCTTCCTTAATACACGACGTAATCAGTTTGATCTTTTTTTCAGGAATTTGCGTTTGCGAAATATTGAGAATATTTAATTAAGTTGATCGCGATGTGAGATTTATTGGAATTTATGCATACGTATTTTATGTAAAAAGCTATAATTTTTTATCTTTCATTTTTATATATACTTGAATATTTATTAAAAATTATTTAAAAGTTGTTTAAGATTAAAAATTAAGATTAAAAAAATTATTAAAAATTAATTAAAAGCTTTAGATTATTAAAGAATATTTCAGAGAATTCTCATGTTTTTTTCTTATTCTTTGGCAATTCCAAAATTTTTCTGTGGATCAATTTATCATCGAAGAAGAATTAAAAAATATATTTTGTCGTACTGTCGAAGAAAATAAATTGTTTGGAAATATAAGCGAATTTTTGGCAAGTTAAACTAATGGTGCCAAAAATTGTAGAGTAAACAAGCCTTTAAGCGGGATAAAATTACATCAAAGTAATGTCGATCGTCATGATTTCATTAACGTTCGAAAAAGAAGGATTGCGTCCATGAGTTACAGTAGCAATCTTGCAAAGCATTGATCTTCATATCTAAATTTAGAGGACTAATGGAATTGAGATAAATTCAACGAGTTGGCAAACATCGTATGACTCGAACTATCCACGTGGCCTATGTTGGTTGTTGGTTTTATGGTCGTTGGTTGATAACGGCACAAAAAAAGGACAGTCCTCTCCGCAATCTGTGAAAGGACTGCGACAGTTTATTTTAAAAATATAGGAATGGTGTTGTTGCTTTGTTCGAAATTATACATAAATTGCACTTAACATTGACTACTAAATAAGAATTTATTATCTACAAGATATTTTATTTCTTTTGCACTATTTTTTAATCACAGACTTTTTTCTATCTTTCTGGAAGTTATTTTTTTTAGCAAGAATATCGATGGAAGTCATTTATTATAGCCAATTTCTAATAGCACATGACCTTGCAAGTAAATATTTGATCTTTAAAATTTTATCAAAAAATAAAATTTATTTAAATAATTAAAAAATAATATCATAAAATTAAGATATCTTACATAATTCATAAAACTTAATTTGGCGCTAAGAATTTTTAATTTTTAATTTTAATTGATTTTGCAATATTTTATTATTCAATTTCAAAAGCCAGATTTTAATGTATTATTTGTCAATGTACATTCTTGAAGTTCGAGATGCAAACTTTACGAAACATCCTGTTTACACTCGTTCATTCCTAGTGTATACATGACATCACGAAATGTTATGCAAGCGAAAAGTCTTGGAGGTTGGCTTTATAAATTCACAGCGAGAAGTTTATCAAACAGGAACAAGGTTGTCGTTTGTGTCCCACATTACGAGTTTCCACGAATTCCATGTGAATTTATCAATTTCACGTGAAGCTCGGTTTTCGCGAGCAGACAGCGAAACGAGCTTCCATCAATTTTCACGGCTTACGTGTCCCGGAAGTGCGGCACTTATGAACAGAAAAGGGCCGCCATTAGAACGGAGGTCTGTACGAAGCATCCGTGACAGAGACAGCGAATTTCGAACTGACGCGAAAATACATCGTAATGACATCGAATTTCTTCTGACGTTCCATTTTCAAGGGATTAACACATCTTGTGACAAGACTCGTGATGCTCTATATATAAAAAACTATATATGTATATATGTATATATATGTGTGTAAATCTTTTTCTAACAACATGAAAAAGTTCATCTTTTTCTACCATTTTATAAATATAAAACAGCAGACAAGAATTTGATTACAATTTAATTTAAATTTGAAAAAAGAATATAATAGAATTCTTAAAGTTAATAATAATAATATAAAATAATATAAAATAATATAATAATATAAAATATAATGATAGAGAATAATAATAATAAAAATAATAACAAAATAAATTAAAAAATAATAATGTAACATAATTTAGAACGTGTTAATTCGCTGATATTAGGATCTGCTAAACCGGAAGATGTGATAACATGGATATAGCGAGAGGTATCGGCGAACATACCCTCAATCAGCCTCCGACGTGCGATGTTATTGGGTTCTCGATCGACACACTTGAACATTGGAGCGCGAAGACGGCGCGGGCCCTAAATCGAGGAGAATTGCAGGAAGCTAAGGGAAGCAAGGAGGGCAGATTATCGATTTCCCAAGCCCGGAAGGTCTAGCCCGCAAGGAAGAGGCTGCTCTCTCAAGAGGTACCTCTCGCCATTTCCCTTTCGCAAACGCGAAAGAGGGTTAGCTGAAAATTTCTCTCGCGGTAAAAGAGAGATGAGATCATGGGATATCTTCTTTTGCCGTATTTCTATCTTCCGAGAAAGTCACGATTTTCCGAATAAATCCGGTTTATATTTCGCGAAGATCGCAGCTGTACGACAATCCGCGTAAGTTGAAGAAGAGTCGCAAAGGCAGTTTTTTCTCTCCTATAGGTCTCATTTCTTTTTTACGAATGTATAACTCAAGACATTTGTCGATGTCATATTTCACGATGTCGCATAATTTAATTATTGAGATCGCCAGCTGTGACATTGGATATCTTGTTTAATAATCGACACGCTCATTCCTGTATTTTTTCTATTTATTTTAACAAATTGAATAGCATATAGATTTTTCAATTATTGCATGAGTGCAGTGTATAGTATATAACACAATATATTGATATATTGAAATAATTTTTTACTCTGATGAAATAATATTTTAATAACAATAATAACGAGGACTGCCTTAAGTTTATTCTGATATTCAGAATTATATCTATTTTTCTTCTAAGAGATTTATTAAACAATAAAAATTAATTATACGATTTAATATACGATTTTGTCACAAAAATACATAAAATTTAAAAAATTCTTTCTATTTTACAAAAATTAAGCTTTTATAATACATACATTTTTTGTAATATATGTTTGAATTTCTTGATCAATTCAATTTAGATTTCTATATATAGAAATAATAAAAAGTTTATTAAATAATTAAAATTATATGTGCTTAATCACACATCGCATTTTATCACGAAATAATTAGACTATTTTAAAATGACTTCGATAATTTTTAAAAATCAATATATTATATGAAAGTTAAATAACAGATTTAAATTACTTAAATCTCAATTTTCCTTAGTTCTTTTTTTAAGTTGATAAGCAAAGAATTTTGAATGCGCTATATATTTTGTAAAGCAAAAGTTTTTCGTGAAAGTTACAAAGCGCGCGCAGGATAATATAACGTATGGATGTTGATTTATTGCCGTGTCTGTCGGACAGAAAAAGAAAAGTAACAGTATTTGTTAGATCTCAGGGAAAATAGTGGTATGTAATATTTTACCAACGATCTCGCATCATTGCCAAAAGTTGAAATTTCGTTTGTCATTGCAAAACTGAAAGCATTCTTTTCGAGCGCACGCGCTATCTCGCTATTCACCTTTATTCTGAGCAAACCTCATTTGACGGAAACAAGAACTTTTTATAGGCAATCTTGGGAGTTTATAGATCGATAATAAGATTGGTTGCGGCTACCGAAGGGCGTTATAAGTAATGATGATTTTATATGATGGAAGAGAGACCGTGCTACATATAAAACGAAAAAAACGTAAAAAAAAATATGATTACAAATTATAATATATGTATGTGCAATGTTATGAAATAAGTTTTTAGTCTAAGGTAAAATTTTCTGCATCATATATCCTATTTTATCTAGTTCTATTCTATTCTACCTTACTAAGATATATGATAATGTCAGCATCTGATTATAAAATATTTCTGTTTCAGTTTTCAGCCGAGGGCGATCATGACAGGAACATACCGGAGATCGGTGAGTGCAAATAGAAAAACAATGCTTAATTTCACTGTTGTTTATTGTCCTCGTTTCTTACGACCAATTTTTAAATTCTTGAAATTGTTTTCCATTGCTTCAAATTTATTTTTAAAAATTTTATTATGTGCAAACTTACAAATTTTCGTTATCTCAAAATTAAGAGCAAATAAAAATTTATATACATTTTCTAACAATGATAGTGATATGAGAAAATAAAAAGTTTAATGAAAAAATAAATTTTAATGAAATAACACATTTTTAAGACTCTCTCTCTCTCTCTTTCTCTCTCTCTCTCTCTCTCTCTATATATATATATATATATATATATATATATATAACTGTAATAATATATAGAAAATACAGAGAGACAATATAAAGAATATTGTTACATAAATGTAATTAACATAATATATTTAGAGAAATATCACCAGCCAGTTTTATATATTGCGAATAACCGACAATATAAGAATTAAAGTAACGCGGCATACATATTCCGAAATTATTCACGGTATTAACCGGTACGTGATCAATCTCCATAAATTTTACGTTTCACTGCGCAACGAAATGCAAGAGAAGTATCGTAATATCAAAAATCTTCAATAGTTTTGTTTCGACATGAAAGATTTCACTTTGCTAACACATCAAAAGTTCAATATTCTTATTCACCCTACCCAAGGAACTTTGAACGCACATAGTCATGTATTTCGTACACGTCGTTGATCACGATGAACGATCGTTCGCATGGATAGATGGTAGAAATAGCCGCTGCATTTTACGAAAATATTTATGGAACTATTTAGGGCGTTTGAATTACTCTCAAGATTCGGCGAAAAAATATTGGCGAGAAATATTTTAGCGAGAAATATATTATAGCGAGAATCTCTCATTGTGCCGTCATATATATTCGCACGTTTATTAAAATCTCTCTTCCTCTCCGTTTGAATCTCGTTAGAATTCGAGGAAATTCTACAGAATGGCATTCATTCGACGATAATTATCGCGTTTTATTTCGATGGTTGCGCCTCGTTTTATTTTTTTTGTATTTTTTTTTCAAAATTATTATTCATAGTTTCAAGACTCGAAGAAAATTAACTATTACTAACATTATTATTTTTGTTATGCTATTGGAAGATGTGTTCGTGTACGATCGTCGAATTTTCGCGCTTCAATAACTGACAATGGTTCGTTCAACAACGATATCATCCTCGTTATTCACGCATCATTTGTCTCGTATCCTCCATTATATATATTTCTGATATTCTGTCAGAAATGTCAACACATATCGGAGGCGATGTCATGAAAATCAAGGAGAACGAAACGCGTAAGACAACAAGGCGTAATTTTTGTAAAAAACTTTGGTCAAATTTTGCAAGAATTATATCAAAATATAATGAAATTTTAGAGTCTCTTTATCGTAAATAAATGAAAATATCTGTTAAAATTATGAAATCGAGAGAATAAAATCTAGAATTATATTTTTTAATTTATACGAGAGAAATTGCGCACCTTTTCTAATAAATTTATAACAATTTTTGCGATAAAATAATAAAAGAATAATTAAAAAATTACAAATAGTAAGCAAAATTGAAGAAAAATGTTTTAATTATCTTGTAATTTGACTCAGAATAAATTGACAAATACAATTAGTAATGATTAATATAAATAGTTATATAAATAATTAAACCAAAACTAATGGAATATTAAAAGAATATTCAGATAATTATTTAGAAATTCATATTTATATCAATTAAGTAGAAATAATTTATAGATAAAAATTTTTAATTTTTTTTATAATCGTGTTTTATCTGAAACAATTAATTACTATTTTAAATATTATCTTCAATACGTAAATAATAGCATTGTGTAAATATCAGAATAATAAAGAAATATGAATTTAATGAAAATATTTATAATTGCTTTACAAGAATAGATACGCATTGAATTTTAATAGAATTCTAGAATATTGAATTTACGACATAACTCTGAACCATTTGGCCAGCTTCCGGACGGACTTGCTTGTTTGCGTTTAAAACCGCGGCCTTGTAACCCGAGGCTGACTTCTAATTTGCTCTGGGTGCAAGATCAGGTGTGAACACTCGGACAAACAAGCTAAAGGATTACGCTCTAATCGATATCTGGTAATTGTTTACGTAGTACTGTGTGAATTGCTATTTTGCATACGACTATGCTCGTAAGGATAACACTGGACCGGCATTACAGAAACGCCGAAACTGTTGTGCTCTCCCATAGGGATGTTGCGCATCCACGATGCGCGGATACAATTGATCTCGGCGAATGTCAGGAACACTAACTGTAACGTCGTGTGTGCTGATTAAAGTCTTAATTGTACGGAATAAGAGCAGATTTCCGTCAAGAAAATTTGTTTTTTTTTTGCAAAGTTTAACAGTCAAAACTTATTGAAGTTAATTATTTAGTTTGTTGTGGATTCTTTATAGAAAGAAAGTAAAAATGTTTGAAGAATACGCCAATAAGATCGCTCGTAAATCTCACGAATAGTGAAATAGTACTTTCGCTATATTGTAAAAATTTGAAAGTTAAACTTTGCCATATCTTATCTCGAGCTTTAGCTGTCGGCATAAAAAATGTTATTAATGTAACATAGCAACTCCTTGCCTTTAGGAAAAAGCTTGATGTAAGATAAATGAAGGAAAAGCAAACGATTATAACGCGTAATGATCTTCTTTGAATATGTATAAATTTACGCTTTGATAAACTTATTACATAAAAATACAATATTATGGTTTTTCTTGTCACATAATACGAGATGGGAATGCACTGGAAAAGCACTCAGACTAAAATCTACTTTTTTCAATACTATACGTTTCCCATGATGCGCGCGAGGAATCCTTGCCATCTGCGAACATTAGTCCGCGCATTATCCCCCTAAATTTTTTCCTCCGGTCCATCAACAGGATTGTAACGGGAAACTGATTCGATGGTTCAGAGAAAGAGAGACATTCAGCTATCGGATTTCTAGATCAAAACTTAGCCGGTCATGTTCGATTCTCCATTCGCCTGCGATCTATTATTTTCAACGCGGCTAATGCACTTTTTTCAATCGATCTTATTCCAGCACAAAGAATATCTGTATCGAGATTGCGTTTCCAAATTCCTGTGTCGAAATTGATCGTTGTTGTCTCTCGTGTCTCGGTCTTTTATTTTAGTTTAGTTAATTTCATTGATTTTCAAATTAAATTTAAAACCATAATTAATACACCGCATAATCAAATAGTCTCGATTTCAGAAAATTTTTATATTTTTATATTATTTCGGATAATTTAATTATTTAATCATTTAATGCTTTCTTTTACAATTAAAAATAAATTACAGTTATATTTTAAAATTTTGCATGTGTAATTTTTTAAGAATTTATTTTAGAAAAAATATATATATATATATATATGTCTACAGGATCATAGAGAGTTATGTAGGTTTGTTTTTATTCGTTCGTTTTTTTATTTTCCTGTGTTATTTATTTAACGAATAAAAGCAATAGCTATTTAGTTTGTATTAACTTATATGCGATATGTAAAAAATCGTGCAAAATATCGCAATAAATTTCACGAATTATCAGGAGTGCAAACTCTGGTCGTTTCTTAAAAGCTAAATGCGTCGCAAGTAGATACGGTCCACAATACATTAGACGATGATGGACGCACACATTCTTCCCGCAGTGATCTGACTGGCGCGCATACTCCCAAAATTGATGTTCCCGTTACTTCTCGATGTCCCCTTTTGGACATAACGCGATTTCGCCATTAGCTTAACCGCTCATGGGGTTAACCACAATTCAGAGAAGCAAGTTTCTACCATGAGCTACAACATCATCGACGTTGCTCTATCGTGTTTTAATTTAATAACTTTATGTTGCAAGACAAGTCTATCGAAAAATTGTCAAATATTGTTTTTATATTGTAGATATGAAAAATAGGACAAATAATGACAGGGAAATATTATTACTTACATACACTCATTTATCATACGCGTCGCGTTTGTTTGATTGAATTCGGATTAAATTGAATTCACACATATCGTTTACGAGTTAACGAGATAATGATCGATTTTTCGATTTCTGAAGGATCATGCGCGATTTTAATTGGAGAAATTCACGAGAAGCAAAAAGGATATTGGTCAGCTCTTATTTTAAATGTTTATTGATTTAAAATAATTATATGTCAAAAATCTTATTTTTAATAATTGATAAATAATCGCGCAAATTATTAAATTGATTGTTAATCATTAACAATTATTGCACTTTATCCATAATGATCATTAGCAAGTTAAATAATTGAATATTGCACGTATAACAGTTATAAATTATCAAATGATTTACTGTTACAGTTCTCGTTTGTCATTCTCTATTGGCATCTTTGATAGGATGACTTGCGTACGAACTGTTGCGAGATCATGCGCTGTCATGATAGAATTATCGTCATATCAGACAGCTCTCTCGATTTTCGAGCTCATTGAGCAATCCCATAATGTCTTTATGAATAACCTGATGAAAATTTCGTCTTTTATTACTTCTATTATTATCCTATTTATATTAATTCTAATAAATTATATACATACTTTAATATAATATCCATATTTTTTAATAAAAAAAAATATTTAATAATTTTATAATTATATAATATATTTAACAAGTTTACATTTTAATAATGTAAATACTTCAAAAATTTGTAGCATTATTATCACACATAAAATTTTAATCGATTTTCTCTTATAAAATTGAAATGCGATAACATTTAATTTTTTTAAATTAACTTATAATGTAAAAGAGAGAGATCTCTAAGTGCTTTAAATGTACTCTTATATATATATATATATATATATATATATATATTGCCTCGCAATATATAAGGATAATTTTCGCACACTTTCTCTCGATCACCGTTAATCATTTTCATTATACTCATTAATGACCCATGTTCATTTATGCACATTATAAACAGCAGATACGAACTGCCCCAGCT